ACATTCATTACCCACACCCCAACTCCAAATAGATGATCTGGAGCTTCTAATCTGTGAACATGAGCACGATGATAGTGCACACGCCCATCAAGAAATGCATGAAGGACTTGTGCTTCTCTATCAGCTAAAATAATATTTTAAAAAATCCAATACAGTAACACCTCGCTGTAACAGACTAATTCAGGCAAGGGGATGTCTACTAGTATTAAAGCTAAAAGTCCATTATAGAATGAAGTAGGTTTTCTGAATGCATGTGTTAAAAAAGTGACAAATTAGTTTACCTGTTTCTACTTATGTAGACACGCTTGTGTAATTAAAATTAAGCATATATGAAAAGTTTAATTTCACAGAAAAGTTTTCTATATGTGTTACTGTAATTTTAAATTTATACTGAATAGATCTAGTAAATGCACACATTTACCAGTCACCGAGAGTAAACAAATGCACAGGACTGGGGCATGGCTTAGCACACGTTAAAACTGCTGCAGAAAGTCATGCCACATTAACAACAGAACCAATTACCATGTGCATGATATGGTGTGATCATATGCTCATCATTCGCCAAACACTGTTTACAAGTTTGGTGGACTTTTTCATTTAAATATGTAGACCACAGCTGTAAATAATTTTATGTAATATTTATGTCGGCAAAATTACTACACAGTGTTTTTTTCCCAACATATGGCCTGTTCGGTAGAATTTGTTAAAAATAACAGTGAAGTAAAAAAAACAAAGCCCTGTTAATTTAATTATAAGCAAGTCTTGGTTAAAAAGAATTTTAAAATTAACAGGGTGTTAATTTTCACATATAACTTATGGACTACAAGTTTTGTCCGTTAAATCCGAAGTCCGTTAAATTGAGGGTTTGCTGTATACAGGGGTAGGGGCAAAAGTAGGTTAATACAAGCCTGCAACCCAGGCATGTGCCCTGACTGGTAATCAACCCTGCAACCTTTTGGTACACAGGACAATGCCCAACCAACTGAGACACACCAGCCAGGGCTCTCCTTATATTCTGATGGAATATTAAATGCCACACTTGGTCTATCTTACCAGTCGCTTGCTATAAAGTAGTGCTGTACTGCTGCCACTGGAAACTGCCCATTTAGAAAAATGCATGACATGTTCCAACTGTTTAGAAAGTCCAGCCACTTCCTGTTGTTGTTGCATAAGTTTTATGCGATGGTCCTTCGCCAGGCTCTAAAAAGAAAATAATTTCAAAATTAATTCTGTCTGTAACATATCTTAATGGTCATTTTCAGATTACCATATTAGAATAACCATCGCCTTTAAGAAACTGAAAATCCTCTTAGTGTTGCTTTTACACTTAGTACAAAGGATCAGTCTTAATGCAGCAAAACAGTGTGCTCCAAATGCTCCTTATAGCCGCTGCTACCACCACCACCATGGCCTCCATGGCCCCTAACCTCCACCCTCAGTATGGTTTTATACACTGAGTGGCCAGATTATTATGACCGGCCAGATTATTATGACTACCCCATCAGTACTTCATTGACACTTCCAAAAATACTGAATATTGAAAACTTCCTAACCTTCTCAAGGTTTTATTATTATTATTATTTGCATAACTAATTCACTTCATTGTACTGATGGGGCGATCATAATAATCTGGCCACTCAGTGTATATCTGGGACTTAGGTTTCTATTCATGTTATCTTCCAATATCCAATAGGAACAAAACCTGTAGATTAGCTATAATACAGTAAATGCCTATTAAATTCAATACCCACAAATAAAATAAATATAACCTTTCCAGCAATGTAGTAAATTACCAGATCACATAATTTACTCAATCCCATGATTTCACCTTTTAGGCATTCTAGTCCTCACTGCAACCATATGGTAGACAACATGTATACTTCGCATGTGGTAAAAAAGCTGTAACATTTTTTTTTTTGGTCTAGTGAGAGTTTCATGGTGACTAATGTGCCAATGCACTCTCAGAAAAGCTACAGAAAAGCAGTACACAGAATTTCTCTCTGATGGTTTTACCTTTCTCTAAGGAAGTACACAAGGAAGAACACAGGTTAATAAAAAGTGAAGAGCACTGAACTTGGGTTATTTTAAAGGTTTCTATCCAAAAATCTTCTTTACCTAGCAAGGAAAGAGGAAGAAAATAGGGCTTTCTACTGGCTTTAAAAAAAAAAGTTTAAAGTAAAATTGCTATGCTCCAATATAGACTTATAGTCTCAATGAAAAAGAGAACCTAGATCCCAGCCATAGTCAGTTTCAAATGTTGAGAATGTACATGTGCTAAATTGAATTAAGGGAAAAACTGCAGTGACTATTAATGGCTTTGTCATATCTAATTTAAAACTCAGAGATAACTTACTTATTAGGTTATTTCTGACCTCTGTGAAAACTGTTTCTTTGGAGGCATTCTAGAAAGAATATTCTGTTTATTTTTAATTAGGTTGCAAATTGAGAATCAGAAGGTCTAGTTTCTTGGTATTCCATAGAAACAACTATTTGGTATCCTGGCCAGGGTGGCTCAGCGGTTGAGCATCGACCCATGAAGCAATAGGTCACTTGTTTGATTCCTGGTCAGGGCACATGTCTGAGTTGTGGGCTCAATCGCCAGTAGGGGGTGTTCAGGAGGTAGTCGATTGATGTTTCTCTCCCTCTCCCTCTCTATCTAAAAATCAATAGAAACATATTTTTTTTTTAAAAAAAAAGAATCATCAATAAAAACATTTTTAAACAGTTCTATAAAAACTGTAAGGCAATAACATTGATTAAAAGTAATACTGATGACTAAGGTTATTCCTAGAGATTGGGAATTTGGTCATATTTTGTTTCTATATTCTTCTTATTTTTTTAATCTGTAAGTAATTTTGATTTACAGTGAAGTTTGGAAACAACCACAGCCACTACTGATCTCTGAGAAAACAATTTGAAGTCACTTATTTTAAGCAGAGCTTTGAAAACATTTTAAATTGTTTAAATGCAGCTATTAAAACAGAAACAGAGAACCTTGAAAAAATAGTTACTGTAAATAAGGTCTGATTCTTCCTGGACAGAATAATTCTTCACTAAATAAGTCTTTGATTATAAAAGAATAAAGTATTATTTTAGTCTTTGTTTCCAGTATGGTTGCTAAACCATGGTAGTGGCCTTGCTTTGCAGGGGACAAAACTTTCTAACAAAGACCTTATAGTTTTGTCAACTATAAAATAAAGATGTTGGCTCTGGCCGATTTGGTTCAGTGCATAGAGCGTCGGCCTGAGGAATGAAGGGTCAAGGGCATGTACTTCAGTTGCAGGCTTGATCCGCCAGCTCTGATCAGAGTACATGCAATGGAAAAATATCCTTGGGTGAGGATTAACAACAACAAAAAGATGTTGAACTAAATTATTTCTAGGAGTTTTTTTCTAATCTTCAAACATGACAATTCTTTTACTCTTTTCTCATTCTAAATTGCTTCTTTACTGTGAATTCCTTCTGTATCAATATACTAAAAAATTCTAAAATATCATGCAATTAATATGTTAATATACCATATAGAAGTTGTAACCTCCATATATTTGAAGTCAAGCAGTGAATTTGGATCTTGACCTTCAGGAACATAAAACAGCTGATGAAGATAGTAATATCTTTCTTATCTTCAGTGGGAAACAACTATCCAAAATGCCCTGGCTTTAGTAATTAACACTATAAAATGTTAAGGGCAGGAGGCACCTCCTTTTACCTTATCTCATAAGGTTAAATGTATATTGTTGAGAACTAAACATAGCTAATTAGTGTATCTTTCCAAAATTTTGTTCAATTGCACTCCAACCCTTTGGTGATGCAAAACTGTCACTTCAATGAATCTAAAATGATTCATCTCTTCAATATTTACAGAGTTTCTCCTGCAAGCAAGGCATTATGTTAGACACTCTGGAGTAAATAATAATAACTAACAAAATTCCTAGTGGGAGTATCAACCTACTTGCTAGGTGGGAAGCTGCGGATTCATGAATTGTTTAATGTAGCCAATTAGATCTTCAAATTGAGTTTTTTTAATACTTCAAATTGAGTTTTTAAAATACTTCACACGAAAAGTTTCTAATAATTCAGTTATCTACATTTACCTTATAGGGTATGTCAAAAGCTCAAAAATGCTTAAATTCTTTTGTTCAGAATTATTTTATTTGGAAATCAACTGAAATATAATAAAGAATTATAATCTATAAAAAAATCATAACTCTGGCCTGTGTGTGCAGTGGTTAGAGCACTGGCCAGCACACCAGGGTCCTGGTAAAGGGCACGTACCTGGGTTGCAGGTTCGATCCCTGCCCATGTCGGGCCATGTGCAGGAAGCAACCAACCAATGTGACTCTCTCACATCAATGTTTCTCTCTCTCTCTCTCTCTCTCTCTCTCTCTCTCTCTCTCTCTCCCTCCTTCCCTCCCTCCCTCCCTCCCTCTCCTCTATTCTCTCTAAAAATCAATGGAAAAAATATCCTCAGGTGAGGATTAACAAAAAACAAAACTAATATCATGATATAATTTGGTTTAAAAAATTATTACTGGATATACCAAGATAAATGTATTTTCTATCCTTCCTATAAATAGCCAAGTTCTGGAAATCCCATATAGCATATATGGGCATCAACCGCATATATGCTATTAAATAACAGCACCCATTCATATTTGTCCTCAGTTAAACTTTCTTAATGTAGATTCACTCTAATTTTTCAGGCTACAGTACTATAAAGATTAACATTAAAAAAAAAAAAGACATTCCTACTGTTTTATAAAGCCATAAATCATAAGCTTGACAATGCAGAGCCTGGCAAAGGAAAACATGGGAATAGAGATGAAATACTTCTGAATCATAAAACAATTATAAGAAAAAGGCTTTGATTTCAAATTCGCAAATACATATGAAATTCTATTAAATCATACTAGTATGCTGCATTAACAGTACTTACCTCAAGCTGATGCAGTAGAGCTTTTCCTTTTTTATTTATTTCTACCATCAATGTAAAAATAGCAACTTTAATATCTTGTTCCACTTGCTTTTGATTTTGATTTACTTCAATTATCCTAAAAATTATATGAAGAGGGGAAATATAAGGCAGGAAAATTGTTTTACAATATTTAAAACTGATTTTTTAAGGTCTAAATTAGACCAAAATGTTTTCAGCACTTAAAAGCTCAGCTATTTCTAGGATGCTTCAGTTTAAATTGACTTTCTTGAAAACAATACAGTAGAAATCCCATTCTTCTGAAAGACATAGTCATTTAATTCAACCTTAAAATCAAAATGCATAAAAAACATTTTAAGAAAATATGTTTTGGAAAGATTATGGTGACACCCAGGAAAATCAATACTCAGCCTAAAAAGATGATAAAGAAAACCATGAATCTAAAAGAGTTCTATTTTATTCACTGCAACTAAGAAGTAGGAAAGGGTAAATGTGTCACTTTTATTTAGTCATGTGAACTACTACAGTACCCATTATACCTGAATAGAAGAATAAAAAAGACAATAGTAGTTTGTTACTTTTAATAACACATTTGTCTTTAAGTAAGCAGCCAAATAACTACTTTATGTTTAATCAACCACCAAATATGTTTTTTCCTTTGATTAGAAAAAATGGAAATGCTGTTTTCATAGAGATCAAAAACAGAAAGAAAATACACAGCATTACACCAGAATATCTTACAGAAGCAGAAAAGAATAATGGGGAACCCACTGAATATTATAAGAGAAATAAAAAGCTTCTTTTCTTCTGTTTCTCCCATAGTTACCTTCCAAGACTAAAAAGGCAGAGATTTTGTTCTCTGTTGGAAAATCTTCAAGATAATTATTTAACATCAATATTGGCTAGAGGATCAAAATAACTAATATAAATCCTCGTAATTGTAGGACAGGATAAAAAAGGGGCAACCAGTACCATGTTTGCACATGTGTGAAAATGAATGGTCAAGTAAGTCAGTCTACTAAATTTAATCCTCCTATAATCAGGTAGGCAAATAAAGATATAAGCAATTAACACCTAATCCAAAGATTCTTTAATTTTTCCAATTCAAAAACCAAAATACTAAAAAAATAAAAGCCCACCAAATTTGGATAATTCACACTATTTTAAGTCTAGAAATTTTCACACATACATGGTCAACTGATATTCTACAAAGGTGCCAAGGCAATTCAGTAGCAACAGAAGAGTTCTGTCAACAAATGGGAGTTGGAGCAAATGGACATCCATATGTCAATTTAAAAAAAAGGAAATACTGTATATATTGTGAAAGAATAAGAAAAAAGTCAAAATGGTAAAGGTCACCAAGGGTGGATCTTTCACATAAAATTAGTTATCTTACAAATTGCTACCATTTGCTACTAGATTGTAGAAATGACTATCATTATCTCTCCTTAGCCTATCTAATAAAGAGGGAATATGCTAATTGACTGCCCCGCCCTCAAAAATAGCACCCACAGCCAATAAGGAGGGAATATGCTAATTGACTGCCCCACCCTCAAAGATGGCGGCACCCACAGCCACAAGATGGCTGGCAGTTGTGGGTGATCAGGCCAGCAGGGGTGGAGGGTTAGGGGCGACCAGGCCAGCAGGGGAGGGCAGTTGGGGGTGACAGGGCTGGCAGGGGAGCAGTTAGGTGTTGATCAGGCTGGCAGGGGAGTGGTTCGGGGGTGATCAGGCTGGTAGGCAGAAGCGGTAAGGGACAATCAGGCAGACAGGCGAGTGGTTGGGAGCCAGCAGTCCTGGATTTTGAGAGGGATGTCCGACTGCCCGTTTAGTTATGGGATCAGGCCTAAACGGGCAGTCGGACATCCCCCAAGAGGTCTCAGATTGGAGAGGGTGCAGGCTGGGCTGAGGGACACCCCTACCCCCCAGTGCACAAATTTTGTGCACCGGGCCTCTAGTTCTATAAATATTAACTACAAGTTTTCAATTACTCAGTTACAAAATATTTTTAACCCACCAATTCACCAATTATTCTACTTGGAAAAGTACAGTATTGTGATTAAAATATGGTAAGGGAAATCGTTTTTGGTTAACTATAGTTATGTGAAAGAGAAAGGTAAAATGAAATGAGAGCTGATCAGAATAATAAAAACTGACACACTAAAACTGTTACTACTACAATATATAACGACTAGCTATACTACTAATAATGGGACACCAAAAAAAGTTAGCTTATATTGAAGAATTTTTTTTTAAAATCAAGGAATTCCTTGAAAAAAATTCCCAAATGCCCAACCCCAGTCATGTTCCAAAATTATAAGAGTAACAGTTTATGATTGCTCTTATGGAAGATGAACCACAAAAGCCTTACAAAATTTTCTGAGAACAGCACTCAAATTCCCTGTAAGGCCTCTCTTATCCAGCTCTTTCTAATAAGCATTTCTTGATCTATTTAGGCAGACACGTTAAAAGAAAGGGGATACAGAATTTCATAGGGTTGTAAAGGTTGCAAAATGTCAGTGTGTGCCCCAAATGGGATTTAAAAAAAAGGGGGAGCTAGACAAACTCCCTCTTCCCAACAGAGGCCAGTAGTTTCCTCCAGCAATCACTGAATTGTGAGACAGGAGCCTTGGACAAATGGAAGACAAAAACATAATAGATAATATGTAGAAACTGTGTAATATTGTACCTGACAAGGAATAAAAGGTGTGTGAAACAGTGTAACAATCCCTGTCTCCTGGTCCAAATGTCTCCAATTCATTGCAGTTAAGATAACAGCCCTGAGGGGTTATCTCAAAGTTTAGCAATTCTTAAAATAGCATTTATATATATCATCAAGTGTTAAAATATTTTACACTAGCAAAAACAGTTGATTTTATCTTTAAAATCCAGGTATTTCTTTAAAATTAAAAAACACTGCCGAAACCGGTTTGGATCAGTGGATAGAGCGTCGGCCTGCGGACTGAAGGGTCCCGGGTTCAATTCCGGTCAAGGGCATGTACCTGGGTTGCGGGCACATCCCCAGTAGGGGATGTGCAGGAGGCGGCTGATCAATGTTTCTCTCTCATCGATGTTTCTGACTATCTCTCTCTCTCCCTTCCTCTCTGTAAAAAATCAATAAAATATATTAAAATAAATAAATAAATAAATAAAATTAAAAAACACTGATAATGATGAATTATCGATAACTTAAGTGAGCTGCTATAAATGCAGTGTGTCATCAAAATAATTTTAAATTTCATGGCTGAAAAGATGCTTTCAAACCCAAACTTTCCAGAAATCCAAAATTTTGTAGAAGTCTTATTAACTCTGTTATTCGAGTCATCTGGCAGCTTACTTAGATCTATTTCACCATGAGTTAAATAAAATGTTCTAAAAGTGAGTATACTTAACACATATAAAGATGATTTATTATAATACCATAAATGAAAATTTACCTGTTCTGGATCTGATTTCCTGTGAATTTGATGTACTTTGTTTTTTCCATCAATTTGGTGATTAGTGTATCTATAATCACTTTCTGATTCTGAAAAGCTTCTTCTATAAATTGATATCTGAAGAAATAATTCAATTATCACATGAATTAATCTGTGTAAAATGAAAAGCCCCAAAGCAAAGAAATAATAGAAAACTATTTAAGAGTATAAAGAATATAAACAATCAGTTAAAATACAAAATATAGGGGACCCCCCAAAAATGTATACACACACTTTGAATAATTACAAAGGCAGTATTAATTAAAATACATTTCATTGTCAAAATTGAGCTATCAGCTGTTAAAGTGTGTATATATTTGTGGGGGGGGGGGGCGCACTCTATATATCCCTATAAGGCAAATTTTCCCTCTTGTGGAAATTATCCCTTAAGAAAAAGGGAGTCTAGCCCTGGCTGGTTTTGCTCAGTGGATAGAACATCGGCCTGTGGACGGAAGGGTCCCAGGTTTGATTCAGGTCAGGGTCCGTACCTAGGTTGCAGGCTCTTCCCTGGCCTGGGCCATGGTCAGGGCACATGCAGGAGGCAACCAATCAATGTGTTTCTCGCACATCGATATTTCTCCCTGTATTTCCCTCTCTCTCTTCCACACTCTCTAAAAATCAATGTAAAATATCCTTGAGTGAGGATTTTAAAAAAAAGAAAAAGAAAAGGAAAGAGGAGTCTTTACAGATATTATTCAAGAACACTCTTTAAATTATTTTGAGAATTTGGGAGACACACATGCATTATCACGGTTTTAGAGGATTACAGAGCTCACTTGGCCAAAAAGTAATAACAAATATTTAGGCAGATTTAACTATTTTACAATTTCATAATTATGAAAGTTTCATGCTTATAAACATTTTGAAGATCATTTTTAAATAATAAGCCCTTTTAAAATATTTAACTTAGAAATGAAGATGATCGCCTCTGACAAATAAGATGATTCAAGAGTATCTTGAGAGAAAGACAATGATGTAAATGATACATATGAAGATTTTCATTGGAAGTTTTTCATAAAATGTATAAATACAGTACTTTACGTAATGTAATTTGAAAGTATAATTAAATTAAATATAAAGAGGGTGGTCAAAGTTAGAAAAAAAGAAAACATAATTTCATTCCATTTCCTTTGTACATAATCATATTTGTAAACAATGACTGTTTAAATTCCTTCTTAGGTAACAAGATTTTTATTTTAAACTTTTTTTCATTACTACGCTGTTTTTCATTACTACGCTAATAGTGTAATGTTGAATGAAATGGTCAAAATGGTCATCTTTATCTTCTTCCTAAACTCAAAGTAAAAACTTTGAATATTCTATTTATGATGTTTACTAGTTCTTTTCATAATCTTTAGCAGGTTTGAGAAATTTCCTTTTATTCCTAGTTTGCTAAGATACACACACACACACACACATATACATATATATGTTTAAATGTTTTCATATTGATTTTAGAGAAAGAGGAAGTTAGAGGGAGAAACATCTATCGATTGCCTCTGTATGCACCCTGATGGGACAGAACCTGCAACCGGAGCATGTGCCATGACTGGGTATTGAACCGGTGACCTTTTGGTGCACAGGACGATGCTCTACCTAGCCAACCAGCCAGGGCAATCATGGGTTATATTTTTAATTTAATGTTTCTTCTGCCTCTACTGAGATGATTATATAATTTTTCCTTTATTCTTTAAATATATGAATTACATGATGATTTTCAGATGTTAAATAAACTTGTATTACTAATAAGGCCAACTTGGTTGTGATTACATTATCCAAAAATCATAATACTACTGAATTTGGTTTCCCAATTTATCTCTTAGAATTTTGTTATTCAACTAGAGGCCCAGTGCATGAAATTCGTGCAGGGGGAGGGGGGTGTCCCTCAGCCCGGCCTGCACCCTTTCCAATCCAGGACCCCTAGGGGGATGTCCGACTGCCAGTTTAGGACTGATCCCGGGATCAGACCTAAACCGGCAGTCAGACATCCCTCTCGCAATCCAGAACCACTGGCTCCTAACCACTCACCTGCCTGCCTAATGCCCCCAACGGCCCTCCCCTGCCAGCCTGATATTGCCCCTAACTGCTCTCCCCTGCTGGCCTGATCGTCCCTAGCTGCCTCTGTCTGGGTCCCCATGACATGGCTTTGTCCGGAAGATGGCCCGTCGGCCTGGTCTAATTAGCATATTACCCTTTTATTAGTATAGATTACAGTTTACATTCAATATTATTTTGTATTAGTTTCAGGTGTACAGTGTAGTGGGTAGACAATAATATACTTTACAACTGCTTAGAATTTTTAGGTTCATCTCATGGGTGAGACCGCTCTGTAATTTTCTATTTTTACTCCTCATAATCAGAAGTTTATCTGGATTTGTATTTTACTTTATGGGAAAATTATAAATCATGGATTTACATGAAATTGAAGGACTAATCTAATTTTCTTTGTTTTTTTTTGTACTAGTTTTGGTAAGCTGTACTTTCTAAGAATTATCCCATTTCATGTAAAAATTTTCTATTGACAGATAGATCCTTTTTTAATTTTTTAAATATATTTTTTACTATTGATAGTATTACAGATATCTCCCATTTTTACAGATATCCTTTTATATTTTTTAATTCCTTTACAAAATACCCCCTTATTCCTATTATTTGGGCCTGCTCCCTTCTTAATCACTCATAAAAAGATTTGATAATTGCCGAAACTGGTTTGGCTCAGTGGATGGAGCGTCGACCTGCGGACTGAAGGGTCCCGGGTTTGGTTCCGGTCAGGGGCATGTGCCTGGGTTCTGGGCACATCTCCCAGTGGGAGATGTGCAGGAGGCAGCTGATCGATGTTTCTCTCTCATCAATGTTTCTAACTCTCTATCTCTCTCCCTTCCTCTCTGTAAAAAAATCAATAAAAAAAAATATATTAAAAAAAAAAAAAGATTTGATAATTTTACTAGTCTTTCTGAAAGACCCAATTTTTGGCTTTACCTATTTCATTAATTTCTGCACTTGTCTTTATTATATCCCTTTCCCCACTTACTTGAGGTTTAATTTACTCATTCTAACTTGAGATAAATGTTTAACACATTCATTTTTTAATCCTATTTAATATATGCAATTGTATATTTCTTTCTAATCATGGATTTAGCAGTATATTTCAGAAATATTTTCATTATCATTCAGATAAAAATATTTTCTAGTATACTATATCAGGATTTCTTTTTTTACACTTTATTAACTAATTTTGAAATAATTTTAAAGATAAATTTGCAATAGTACAGAGTTCTCACATATACCTTTAACACTGCTTAGTTTTTCAAATATTGCCTCCTCAACAGCCCTTTAATTCCTTAATAATTAGTATGCCATTTCCTCAAAAGGATCTTCTATTGTTTACCCATAATTATAGGAAAATTGACATTGAGATAATACTTCCATCTAATCTACAGACCATATACCAATTATGTCATTTGTCTCACTAATGTCCTCTATAATTTCTTCTCCCTCTAATCCAGGATACCATCCAGGATAATACATCATTACATTTTGTTTTCATGTGAACTGTATTCCTTCATTTTCAAATATTTGGAGATTTTTCTCATCTATTATTATTTTCCAGATTAACTGCAGAGTTTACACAAGACTTTATATGATTTTAATCCTTTGAAATTTAAGACTGCTCTGGCATTAAATTCTTCCTATTTATGTTTGAAAAGAACGTGTATTGGGTACAGTATTTCTTAATGTCCATGAAGTTATTTATTAATTGTTATTTGAATTTTATGAAAAAATACTTATTTTTAGTGTGCTTGTTTTGTCAATTATTCAGATGTTAAATTTCCCACTCTAACTGTAGATTTGTTTACTTGTTCTAAGTTGTTATTTTTCTTTACATATTTTTCTTTTTATTATTTTCTTTTTCTCTATATATTTTAAAGGGCATAAATTTAGAACTGTTGTATCTTTTAGATTAAGAAAACCATTTTTCATTATAAAGTTTCCCCCTTTATCTCAATGCATTTTGCTATGCCAACTTGCCTTTGTTTGGTGTTTGTATGGCACATCTTTACCTGTCCTTTTTATATACTCAGGTTTTAGATGTTTCTCTTACAAAAAGCAACAGACTTTCTATTTTCTTCTTATCTAACCTGAAATATTTTGAACATTTTATCTATTTACATTTATTATAATTACAATACATTTATAGATCTATCAAGTTCTTATTTAATCTGCTCTTTGTTGCTTTTTCCTTCTTTGACCTGTGTTTAGACTGATTAATTATTCTATTCTCCCCCCAAAAAATACTTTTACTATTCTTTCAGTGACTACTCCAGATATTACACAACACAGATCTTGACTTATCACCTAATATTGATTTTTATATTTTTACCCTCCACCCTAAATTATTCATAAGCCTTAGACCATAAACTCCACATCCTTCTAACACCGTGGTCGGCAAACTGCGGCTCGGGAGCCACATGTGGCTCTTTGGCCCCTGAGTGTGGTTCTTCCTAAGCCTTAGGAGTACCCTAATTAAGTTAATAACAATGTACCTACCTATATAGTTTAAGTTTAAAGAATTTGGCTCTCAAAAGAAATTTCAATTGTTGCACTGTTGATATTTGGCTCTGTTGACTAAAATAGGTTTGCTGACCACTGTCCTAACATGTCTGCTGTGTGATATACAACACACATAATGCAAACCAACTAGATATTTTTATTGCTTTCTAAGTCAATATTTATTCAGATTTACAAATGCTTATTTTAACTGCTTTTATTCTGCCACACATCATCTCCCATTTTTCTTCTGTCTAAAGTGTACTTTAGCCCAGCCAGCATGGCTCGGTGGTTGAGCATCAACCTATGAACCAGCAGGTCATGGTTCGATTCCCCGTCAAGGGCACATACCTGGGGTTTTGGGCTCAATCCCCAATAGGGGGCGTGCAGGAGGCAGCTGATCAATGATTTTCTCTCATTATTGATGTTTCTATCTCTCACTCCCTTTCCCTTCCTCTGAAATAAAAATATATAAAAATTAAAAAAATTAAATAAGTAAAACAATATGTGGGGGCTAGTGGTTATTAGCTCAGGGTGACCTTGCTCCCAGGACCATGCATTTTCAGTTGTGACAACTGGGAGGATGCTACTGGAATCTAGTGACTAGAGGTCAGAGATGCAGCTAAATACCACATAAAGCATCAAACAGCCCCCAAAGAATTATCTCTGGCCCAAAATGTCAATAGTGCCAAAGTTGAAATATCCTATATGATAAAAGCCTAAAATGCCAAGTGTCCAGTTGTCCGTTCAACCAATCAAAGCATAATGAATGCTAAGGTCGCTCAATCGCTTGCTATGACATGCACTGACCACCAGGGGGCAGACGATCAGATGGTCGACTGTTCGCTATGATATACACTGACCACCAGTGGGCAGATAATCAACCAGTCAACCAGTCACTATGATGTGCACTAACCACCAGGGGGTAGATGCTCAACGCAGGATCTGCCCCCTGGTGATCAGTGCGCTCCCACAGGGGGAGCGCCGCTCAGCCAGAAGCCAGGCTCACGGCTGGCGAATGCAGCAATGGCAGGAGACTCTCCCGCTTCTGCAGCAGTCAGACATCCCCTCAGGGCTCCTGGACTGCAAGAGGGTGCAGGCTGAGCTGAGGGAACCCCCCGCCCCCCACATCCCAGTGCATGAATTTCATGCAACAGGCCTCTAGTTCCTGAATAGGCCAAACAAAGCATTATCTGCAGACTGCCATTTGGTTTGGTGCCAGCAGTCCTCTACTTTCATGAAGCTATATTACAAATCTATGTATAGATCAAAGATGTTGGTACCTATGCTCTTTATGTTCTAATAACTGGCAATCCCGACATGTCAGTTTGTCGCATGTTTCACAATAAAGCTTTAGCTGCTCCTTCTTATGAAAGGGACAAAATACTGGTCGCTGACTGGTCACACCAACTGCTTCTGGAGAAACAATGAGAGCCAAAAAAAGGAAAATTAACGTAATTGAATAGTAAATAATTAAATTCTACTGAGATATAAAAGAACTACAAACAATTTAATCAACAACATCACTACTTCTAGGTTTTATATCTGTTAAAATGTTAAGTATTCTTGGCATTTCAGAAGGAAAATATAAATGAGCTCTTCACTTTCCAATGTGTAAATTCCAATTATAATTCAGAAAAAAATGTGGTTAAAAATATGCTTTATAAAATTAAAAAGTCTTAATGGCCCAGATAAGTGAGTGTGAACCAATTTGATGTTTTTTATTCCATGTACAGGGGGACATTTTTAAAAATGCAATTCAGAAAATATAATAAAGATGTGGTTTAAAAAAAAGAAATTTCACCACTTTTGCAAAAATACTAACAAATGATACCCATCAACACAAGTAATTATAAAGTTTTCACTATTATACAGTCATCCGTGTAACTTTACAATAGTTAACCAGAATAGGAATAAAATTGGGCAATACTTACTATAATGTTAAATGGAAAAAATCAGAATACAAATAAATATGATTAATTAAACAGTTATCTAATAATTTAAAGTAAAATCCAAACATTACAGAAATAATCTCACCTTCAGAGATAATCAATATTAATAACCTGATATGTGTTCCTTTGGCTGTTTTTCTACACAACTATATATATTAGTGGGTATTTTGTTTTATAAAATTTAAAAAATAGCACTATACTTATTGTCTTGTAAACTGTTTTTTTCCCCACTTACCTCTATGTTAGCTATCTTTCTATGTTAGTAAATAGATCTATGTATTTATTAACTATACTAGAGGCCCAGTGCACAGATTCGTGCACACTGAAAGGAAATTAATTAGAAGGTGGCTGGCAGGGCAGGACTGGGCAAGATGGGCTGGACACGCCCTGGAGCCAACCTCCTGCTGTCCCTCCCCAGCTGGCTGCACCTGGGGCAGTGGCAGGGCTCCAAGGGCATCTGTGGAGTGAGCAGGGTCCCTCCGGCAGGCGGGGTCCCTCGGCCTGGCCTGAGGGGATTGGGCCAAAACCGGCAATCTGAAATCCCTCGAGGGGATCTGGAGTGCAAGAGGGCACTCTGCAAAGTTGCTGTTGCTCGGCGTTGAGCGTCTGCCCCCTGGTGGTCAGAGCACAACCTAGCTACCAGTTGGACGGTCGCTTAGGCTTTTGTATATATAGACAGTATTCCATCAAAAGGATATACTAGCTGGTAGTGGTCATTTAAATGTTTCTCATTTTTCAATATTGTGTGTTAGTGTTGAAACAAACAAATGAAATGTAAAAGTCATTGAATGGTTCTGTAAGACAAATTCCTAGTAATAGAATTGTTGGGCCAAACGGTAATTTATATATACATAATTAAACAGTACTCCAAAAAACTGTACCAATTTGTATTCCTACTCGGGTAGACTATTAGCTTACTAATAAGATTTTCTCAGTATATTTAATCTTCACCAATTTTATTTAAAAAAGAAAGAAATATTTCACAATCTTTAGGTGCATTTCTTTAATAACAGAGATGGAAACGACACATTCATCAACCACTTGCGTTTCTTTAAGAGTCTGTTTATAACCTCTTAATTTTCTGTCCAATTCTCTTCACAACTTGTAAACACATTTAATATTTTTTTCCAAGCACATGATAATGCTTATAAGTGTATCAAAGCATGTCAGCGTAGAAAGGGAAAAAAAAATGGTGGGAGGAATAGAGAAAAAGAGATTAAAAGAACTAATTCATTACCTGGAGATACTTCCTCTTTCTGCCTCACAGTATGGTCTTTTGTGAACTTCACCCTTTGATGAGCTCTGATGCATGTCTTACAGAGCCATTCAACACACTCTACACAAAACCCATTAGCTTCTGCATTGTCCTCACAGCTTGTACACACCTAAAAGAAATGTATCACATCAATTTTTGAGAAAAATGAAAAGGTGGTCACAATACTAGTCATATGTAAATGATACAACCATACTTGACTCTATCAGTTACCTTCTAAACAGGGTTTGTAAATTTAAACTGACATTATGCTTATTTTGTTTTGTTAATCCTTACTCGAGGATATTTTTCCCACTGAATTTTAGACAGAGTGGAAGGGAGGGGGTGAGACAGAGAGAGAGAAATATCAATTGGTTGCCTCCCTCAGATGCCATGACCTGAGGCCAGGATCGAGCCTGCAACCAAGGTATGTGCCCTTGATCAGAATCGAAACCAGGACCCTTCAGTCTGAGGGCCAACGCTCTAACCACTGATAAAACTGGCTAGGGCCTGACATTATGTTTTAAACTATAAACATATGAAATGGAAATACAAGGACACTGTCCTTAGTACCATACAGCAAATATTGCAGGCACTATGCTAAGTGTTGAGGTTACAACAATCAGGAAAAGCCAGCACAGTGCCTGCCCTTGTGATATCAAGTCTCACAGATGGAATATGGGTTCAAATCCCAGTTCCCCCACTTACCAGCTGAGTACTCTTGGGCAGGTTATTTAGAATGCTTATGCTTATTTATTTAAGATTTTTAAATTGATTTTGAGGGAGAGAGGAAGGGAAATGGGGAGAGAAGGAGAAACATTGATGTGAGAGGTAAACATCGATTGGCTGTCTCCTGCATGCCCCGCACCAGGGATCAAGCCCGAAACCCAGGTATGTGCCCTGACTGAGAATCAAACCTGCAACTTTTTGGTGCACAGGACGCCGCCCAACCAAGCCACATAGGCTTGTTTAAAATGCTCGTGTTTAAAATGATGGTAGTAATACAGAATTTACTGAGTAGTTGTGAAGATTATATATGAGACAAACATTACTGGAATAATCACACTAATACATAATTACAAACTGAGAAGTGCTATAAAAGAAAAGGTATGAGACACTGTTAACAACGTACAGTTGGGGAAACTGATTTCACTTTAGTGGGGTTGCAGAGACGGGGAAAAGTGAGAGGTGAGATTACTCAGACAAGGCTTTCTCTAAGATCATATTAGCACCAAAATATGAAAGTTGAGTCATCAATTACTGATGACAAGCCTTTTAGGCAGAGAGAACAGTATGTACAAAAGCCTCCAGCAAAAAGACCATAGCAGGTTCAAAGTGCTGACAGAAAAGTAGTATGGCTAAAGTGGAGAGATCAAGGGGAAGACTGGCAAGAGAAGCTGGTGACATAGCAGGCTACAGCCAGGTCAGACAGGATCACAAGACAATTTGGTCTCTGACTAAAGAAGTCTCCTAAAAGCTTTTAAGCAGTAAGTGAAATGGCCAAATATGCATTTTTAAAATCACCACCACTGCAATTGTAGGCATGAGATTAAAAAGAGGGCAAGTGTTCCAGCATAGAGACAAATAGGAGGCTTTTTCAGTGGTTTAGATGAAAATGAGAGGAAGTGGAGATAAATAAGGAGACTTAAAAAGTAAAATAGCCTGGCTGGAGTGGTTCAGTGGTTGAGCGTCGACCTAGGAACCAGAAAGTCATGGTTTGATTCCTGATAGGGACATATGTCTGGGGTGTGAGCTCGATCCCCAGTGTGGAGCATGACGGAGGCAGCTGATGAATGATTCTCTCTCATTGTT